CAACCATACCTTCTCTTGTTTCTCGCCCGCCGAGTTCTAACGAATCCTCTGCGAGTCTCCCGCCTGTCACCGAGGGCGATTCCAAATTGCCGCGAGGGGTGTGTTCGCTTGGAAAAGATTAAAAGTATTTTGATAAATATCAAAATTGTTTGCCATATACCTGCTTAATATACTTTAATGAACATTAAAATTATTTGATTTTCACTGAAAATGATATTAGATTTGAGTAGATCAAGCTATTAATGCCCCCCCTATTATATTTTAATGGTATAGTCTCCCGCTCTGACAATGTGCTGTCGCATTTTTTAAAACCCTTTCTCAACAGGATGGCGGGATGGCGCTGTGTCATTTGTTTCGTGTTCATGGCATTGACTTTAAAAGTACTACTGAGCCATATCAACAAAGCTCATGGACGCAATCCTAGATTTCGGGCTATTTGTGGAGTAGGCGGCTGCACAGAGGAGTACCGAGTATTTAATTCATTCTACTACCACATCAAACGAAGACATGCATCCTATCTGGCTAGTGGACACCCACCAGCGGTCACTTCTGCATTGGTTCACTCGGGAGCCCTTGGAGATGAACACTTTGACATACCCATTTTCTCCGGCTGTGCTTTGACCATGCATTCCACCGGCAGTGTTACCACTAATACTGAAACTGACCCCACCACCCTCCAAGCTAACGGAGCTAACGAAGCTAACGGAGCTATCGGCTTCAACAACGCAACGCTAACAGGAACAACCACTGGACAAGAGCTGCTTGGAGAAGAAGGGGAAAGGCCCAATCAACATCTTGGAGCCCAAATAACCCCTAACACGGTAAGCATAATCGACCAGCTTAATAGTTAAGTGAAAGTTCACACCATGTCACTAGGTTAGCTAACTGCGGTCAATTATTTTATGAGACTGTGACAGGTTGATGTATTAGCATTGGGAGTTAAAAATAATAATACAATGTGAATATGTATAATTACACGTTCGCCCATTACTACTAACGTATATGCATGTGGTAACACCGCTGTTAAATTAATGCTGCAGATGTAAACTTACCGTTGGCATCAGCTACGCATGATGTTTACATGAGTTAGCGTGCAGCTAACAGCTGGTAGGTCCCGTCCTATATCCGACTGGTTACCTGCAGTAAATCGCCAGCCGCCAACATTACACTTCAATATCGCAGTACTGTTTCACAGCCTCTCAAAGTTAAATGTATTACATAGATAGCAGTCATGCAGTACTAACATGATGCAGCCCATTATGAACAGGGTGTTTTAGCTGGTAAATATGCTTGTAACTACACTTTGTTAATTGTATGAATCAGATCTATTTGTTTATTATGTTTTTCATTAGTAGTATATAATGTAAATTTGATAATTATGTTGTAAAATGTGATATAATCAACGAAGAACAAAAAGTGGGAATTAATTGAATGGAAAATTCCGATATGATGTCAATGGCTAAGATGTTTTTGGTTTTGTCTCATTTCTAATACAGGCTTTAAACCGACGGGCTGCCGCATTCACCGTTGATGTTCGTGAAAGATGCTGTATTTCCCGGGTAAAGTATATACCTATATGTTATCAGTTTTTGTTAGCGACACATCCACATTGAGTGGTACAGACCCTTGAATCTTGCAGGACATTTGCGTAGAGTGCACCATAAACATGTGATATGGAAACAAAATATCCAGCACCACCCATTCCATTAGGTTTAAAAGTAAAGGTAAAGATGCATTTTATTGATCCCCGTAGGGCAATTCATCCTCTGCATTTGACCCATCCTGATGCCCCTAAGGCGGAGGTGTCCAAACCGGTTCAGAAAGGGCTGCTGTGGCTGCAGGTTTTCTATCAGACCCAGCAGGAGCAGAGCAGACTCCTCCCATTTCATCAAATCTTCAGGTTAAGAATTAACTCGCTTGATGAATTGGGTGGAGTCTGCTCTGCTCCTGCTGGGTCAGATAGAAAACCTGCAGCCACAGCGGCCCTTTCTGGACCAGTTTGGACACCCCTGCGCTAAGGCTTACGTCAGGAGCAGTGGTCGCTGTTGCAACAGCGCCCAGGAACCCATCTCCAGATGTTGATGTTTAGAGGGAGTCACAGTGCGCCCCAAAAACACTGCTTGCTTGCTCTTTGTTCTTTAACATCCTAGCCCGTGCGTTAAAAAGGATAGCCTATTCTGAACAGTTTAAATTATTTGATCATTTTCTAAAGGTGGTCATGCCAGTGAAACAATTTATTAATGTTTTGAATTGTCTTTGTTTCTTGTTGCAGGGGAATGTCAACAACATAGTGGCAGAAGTGCAACAGTTTCAATTTTGGAATTTGGAAGACCTGCGGAAGAAAGTAAACAATGTTTTTGAAAGACATGGACATACGGACAACATAGAGCAACTTTGTGATGAGACAATGGCAACAATTGATGCCTTTCCTGATCCTTTCGCCTCCCTGACCACGAGTTACATGCAGGATCAAACTATTAAAGAACTTTTTCATCCAGTTGAACCTGAAGAGGTCATCATCTCACAAAAGCTCTGTAGAGTTAAGAGAGGTGGAACAAGGGTACTGAAAATTAGAAACATTTGTTTTTATTATGTGCCTCTTATCAAAAGTTTGGAACAATTTCTGTGTAACCAAAGAATATTCAACATGATTCATTGCCCAGCCAATTGTAGCAAGGATGGCTTTCTTAAAGACATTGTTGATGGAAGCATTTTTAAAAGTCATCCGTTATTTTCTGCTAAATGCGGAGCATTACAATTAATTTTGTATTCTGATGAAATTGAAATCTGCAATCCTCTTGGTGCACATGCTTCTGTTAACAAACTACTGATGTTCTATTACTCATTAGGAAACATAGAGCTTAAATTTCGGTCAAAGCTTCCAGCCATTAGACTTCTCGCTATTGCCAAAGCTAAGGATATTTCACAAGCTGGTGTGGATGTTATTTTGGAGCGAATTGAAAAGGATTTAAAGGAGCTTTACAGTGGTACAAAAGTCAAAACTGGAAGCAGGGAAACAAATATCTTTGGTGCTGTAATATCAGTATGTGGCGATACCCTTGCTCAGCACGATCTAGCTGGGGTTGGTTTTGCTTTTAGCAAGTGTAGGCATTGTGAGTGTGACTTTGACAGGATGCAAAGCAACTTTGATGAGCCTGATTTTACCCCAAGAACATTACAAAGTCATATCAGACAGTGTGAAGAACTGGAGAGGGCCAGAACAGAATTTCTTAAAAAATCCCTCATGACTACCTATGGCCTTAATAGAAGGAGCAAACTTCTTGATTTCCCAGCTTTTGATTTAATCCGGCAAACCCCACAGGATATAATGCACGTGTTACTTGAGGGTGTGGTGCCCTATGAAATGAAATGTGTGTTAAAGGCTCTCATTTTGTCTGGAGATTTTGAATTGGACTCTATAAATGCAGGTATACAAGGATTTTATTATTCACCTGTTGATATTCGTGACAAACCATGTCCCATTACTGTAAATACTTTATCATCAAATGATAACAAACTTAAACAGTCTTCAGGGCAGATGTTGGTGTTGATGAAAATATTTCCATTTATTGTAAACCGCATCAGACTAATGTATATGTCCAGTTTATAATAGGATTACTTGAAATAACTCAGATCATTTTTTCCCCTGTTATAGCCTTTGAAACGTTGGAAAAACTGAGGAGGATGATTGAACAGCACTTAAAAGAGTTTACTCACCTTTTCCCTGGCAACAACATAATTCCCAAACAGCATTATATGATACATTTTCCTTCACAAATTGAGGCCCTGGGTCCCCTGAGAAGGCATATGTGCATGAGGTTTGAATCCAAACACAGATTTTTCAAAAAGTGGTCTTCAAAATTGAACTATAAAAATATTTGCAAATCTCTTGTCCAGCACAATCAAATTGTTGAAAGCACACAAAATGAACATATTTTTGCACATGAGAAAGATATAGGCCCTGTGGGTGAAGTGCCAAATGTCCAATATGTTGAGTCAAAGCTTAGAGATTTTCTAAATATTGTCGAAGTCCAGCATATTATTTCTGTCAAGTGGGTTATATTAAACGGCAACACTTACACAACTGGAAAAAGCGTGATTATTACAGACACTGATAATGGATTGCCTATTTTTGGACTTATTAGTAATATTTTCATTGTTGATTCAGTTTTATTTTGTTCTGAGTATCAAGTTTATGACACACTAGATTTTAATAGAAATTTGCTCTCATATGAAATTAATGTGCCAAATGTTGCTATGGCCACAGAATTTATTAATTTGGAGAAATTGAAGGATTACACTGCATATCAAGCTGTGGTGCTCAATAACAAGACATTTGTTCCAAGAAAATATGATCTTGTATTGTGAAATGAAAATATTTCATAAACATTGTGAATGTTGACTCTTGTTTACATGTATATTGTTTTTCTAGGATGTTATTGTAACGTCTTTGACGTCTTGCTTGGGCCTACCCTCAACACTGGGTAGCTCGGTTGGCCTATTGCAAATACCCATAATAATGACAACAAATGTGACTAAAGAGGTTATGTGATGTCATATCAACAGCATGGCAGATAGCATTCCAGTAGGACAATAGCATAACAGCTAAATATTTGGTTAAACCTGGTGGTAACTATGCCGACTGTTCATTTGGCTGCTGTTGACGTAATGGAATGCTATCTGCAATGCTTTTGCCATTGAACATCAATAGCCTCAATCAGACTAAATCTTAAAACAAGCAAAAATGTCTTACTACAGACTAGTTTTAGCATTTGCATGAGTGGTAGAACTTGATTTTGTGTAAAATCTACTTAAAAGAAGATATAATACCTATGAAATATGGCTCTAGAAAGAATAACTTAAAACAAGTAAAATAATCTTTAAAAGAACGGGTCTTAATAAGTGAAAACATCTAGAATTTAAACTTCTAAGATTAATGTTCTTAATTTAAGTCAGTGTGACTTGGTTAGGAAATTCATTTTTGCAGTGTACTTACCAGGTCACCAGGATTTCTCAGCGCTGAGGAGCAATTGCCCAAGGAACATCTCAGCATCTATGCATCCGAGCGACCACATGTCTAAAGCATAGTGCATAGGAGCTCCTAGAGCCATCTCCGGGGCGCTGCACAAAAACAATGACAACGATTTACTGGTTTTATCACAATGATTTGGTTTTATATTGCACTTTTTGGTTTCTTTGGACTCAAACACCTTTAACATGGCAAACCATTCAAAAACCTACAATATCCACAAACACATTGGAGCCATTGGTTCATAAAGGGTGGTTGTCAAATGTCCATAAGTGAGAAAACCCAATGAGGGAAGATCCACTCCCACAGACAGACAGACTCTAGATCCAGGACTCAGACTGTACAACAAGGATTGAGGCCACATGGTGCAGGACTCAGATAAAGGTCTGTTAATGTTCCTTCTTTGTCCCTTTAACCGTCTGTCCATGCCCTTGTGTCCATGTCCCTGTGCTCTACTGTCCCTCACATACCTGTAGCAAAGTGTCCCGAAAGAAATACCCTGCTTCGCGAGATACGCTGGACGAGCCAGTCCAAAGTCTATAATTTTGACCTGGAGGGGCTTCCTTACATGATCCACCATCATTATGTTGTCCGGCTTCAGGTCTCCATGGATTATTATGAAGCTCTTTAAAAACTTCAAAGCATCAGCCATCTGCAAAGTAAGGTGCTGATTTTATAACTAATTTTCTCGAAGTAAAGTGTGCATACTATACCTGTGTGAGGATTGGCCAGATGTGGTGGAGCGGCAGAGTCGAGGACTTTTTCACAAAGTCTCCCAGACTAATGTCCAGCACTTCATACTCGTGGCAGAAGTGGCCGTTGTACATGAAGCTGCAGAACCACTGGACGATGTGATGGGACCATGGATCTATTATAATAACTGGATAGGGTATTACTAGCTTGAAGCTGAATAACCCATGTGCTCGGGGGATTCTTGCGGTACTGCAGACTAGACCAGACTAAATTCACGTGGGCTACCCAGAACATTTCCCCATAGAACTCAATGCATATTAAAACAGCTCAACCTCAGCTGACAGAGAACCTACAGCTTTAATAAAGATCAGATTTTGTGGGGATTTTAGTGTCCCTTGTCATCCTGAACTTTTTTTCTTCTTAAATCCTTCGGTTTTCCTTAAATCCACACTTTACTGCCACAAACTCTGCTCGTCTGGCTCTCGCTCTGATGAACTGCTCTGATTGGTCAGAGCACGGCCGAGCCCCTCTGTGCACGTGCGTGAGACCCGGTGTGAGACCCACACACGCGTGTTTGGCGCAACGCATCATGGGAGATCATCCACTGCGCAGAACCGGGAGGACCAGATGATGCCCAAACACAGGCGAGTTTCCCATAGATCTTTGCGAGTTCCAGGCGACTTCTGCTAATATTTCAGCCCCCATGCTGTCACAAAGCGCCACTGAGCACTAACCTGGCAAGAGCCAGATTGATGATTGTGTAGAACTCTAACGCGTTCTCCACGATATCAATCTGGGACTTCTGCAGGAGAATCCTTTCGGGGAAAGGAGGGATAAGCAGCAGAATACTTCAAGCTGATTGGGCGAAGTGACGCTGTGTGCCCGCCTACCAAGGTTTGACTTAAACCAATCCCGGTAACATGTTTGCCGTCCAGAAATGCACAAAGCGCCTCTCGCTGTTCATCTTTCAAAAAAGAAATTGGAGATACTGCTAAAACTGACTTGATAGCCTCAGCTACGCGTCCGTCCTCCTGCGTAGCCATGTTTGTTTTGCTTCGGCCCGGCACTTCTTGCTTTCGTCAAACCCGGATATCCCGCCCTAAACCCCCAGACTGGCGCGTGATTGGCTCGCACACCCAGTGGTTCGACTCAAGAAGTGTAAGCGGGAGCGGTACAAGATGTATTCTCGAGTGTTTGTGAACTCACAAATACCGCGAGAATTCAGCTTGCAGGCAAGGTTAACTGAGCACAACCATTCATTTGAATAGTGCGCCATCTTGGATCGCCGTGGCTTGGATGGGACTTAGACCCAAACCTACTCAGGTGTCTCATGAAATGAGCCTGTAGGGGGCGCACATGTAGAACCAATACCAATAGTTAGCATAATTCATTCCCCAACCGGGGGATGAAAGTCTAAAAATCCTTTAAGCCTGGTTCACACGGCAAGATAATTAGGCCAATTTTGGACCCGATTTACCCCTACGACAGAACACCCCGAATATCGTAACAAAAAATCTGATGGATTTTCCTGCCGTGTGTGGTGTCATAAGACTGCGCTCGTCGCTCGGAAGGACTTCGGGACTGCTCCGATCTCAATATCGGGGATATCCAACGTGTTGGATTGTTTTGGCCCGATTTCTCCTCGTGTGTGGTGTCCCCCGAGGACAGACGAGCGCGTTGCCATGACTGCGGCATGTAGCCAATCAGAAGACGAGACGAGGCGGTGAGGAAGCGTCGTAAAAAACAACTCACCTCCATATCACGATGTAGCAAGTATAGTCCATGCTCGTGTTGTCTCCACTACTTTGACCATCGCCTTTTCTTCTGATTACGTCTTTTCTCAGATAAAAACAAACAATCGCCACTGCATCCTCTTCGTCCGCCATGTTTGTTTACTCTGAAGTCACGCTTGATCTCGCGAGATTTTGTGAGATTTCCGTCTGATCTGGGAATGCTCGGGGGGAAATCGGTTCGTGTGTGGTTTGCGTGATTTTGCCGTGTGGCTGCGCACCACACACTGTGCGACCAAAGTGGTTAGACCCATGATTTTTTATCTCCGTGTGTGAGGTCTCACACAGAGAAAAAATCGGCCGACAATTTTAAAATCGTCTCGTGTGAACCGGGCATTAGGCTTTAGAGAGAAAGTTGGATCCTGTAACTGGGACATGGGGGCGGGGCTTTGCAAGTGAGAAAGACCAACTGACGCCCAATTAATATTCCACCGTCTTACCTCATGGTCAGGGCTCTTCACCAACTTCAGCGCCACCATCTGGTCAGTGTTGTTTTTGTAACAGAGGCCGACCGTGCCGAAAGAGCCTGAGCCCGGGATCTTCTGCACCTGGTAGGAGTTGAAGGCTGAGGAGATGCTGCCCTCAGCCTTCACTAGATCCTGAAACCAATCCATGGAGAGAAGCAACTGATGCTAGCAGACGATGCACAGAGAAAAAGATCTGTAGAAAATAACAGGGTTCGAAAGTGTGATGGGAAATGTGAGGTTAAAGAATAACCTAACCTTAACCTGAATATGTCTCTCTGCTCTGGATGAAATACCAAGATTTTAGCGAGTGTTTAGTCTAATGCAGTGGTTGCCAAAGTGAGGAGCACGAAAAGATTTGTTTATGAAATGTGATATATATTATCAGTATATATTACACTATATTGCTGGGTTGCACGTGACATCACGCAGCGGCGCGAAAGTCCTCCGAGGGACAGGAAGTACATTTCCCCATTAAGAACAATGTAAAAAGACACTCATTCCGAGTCAAAATGCTCTTTTTCTGGGGAAAAAAGCATTATCAAGTGGGGAACTTATGGAGTCTCTATTTCGCTAAAATCTATTTCACTAACGGGTGTCGATTTTTTTGGAAAATGCCTGATAAGGAACGGAAGGAATGCGTTGGCATTAGCATTAGCATTAGCCTGCGTAACATCTGTGGCCGCAGACACAGCTGACAGTCCGCATTCTTTACTTATCTGACTTTCATAGATATAATGCAGTATTTTTTTGTCATATACGGTTGTAGTAACCGAGGATACAGAGACAAAGAACTGTTAAATAAATGTAATGCCAAAGGTTGTCTCAAACCAACATGTACATATGTAACAAAGCTAAAAGCAGGCTTTACAATCAGTCTTCTCACATATAATCTAGCCATTGCGTTACAAGAGTCATTATCCATCAATATTTCCACGACTGGGACTGTGAGGACCAGGTCTGGGAAGGTGAGGACCAGGGTAATGTCTTAAATTGTATCTGAGCTCTGTGCCCTTGGGACGGCTGCCACGGAGCTCCCCCCAGGGCATAACAAATTACCAAAATGACAATAAAGGGTCATATTTCTCGTCTCAAATGTTGTTAAAAGTAACATTTGTGCCCTATTTATTATATTTTTGATCAGAACTATCATCTCAGACGTGGTTCTGTTGATACAATGATTAAGCAATTTAACAGCTGCTTAATCCTTCTCACTGTTGAAAAAAATTGACTCATTCAAACTCTACAAGGCATAAGCTGCATTAAAAAGTTTTCACACAAAAAAGAGTGATATTAAACCGCAAAAACGCACGCGGGAAAAATACTTCCTGTCCTACGGCCCCACGCCACGCCCCCTTTTGGTCACGCGGTTGCAACCCATCAATTTTATGAACGATTAGGTCAGAAAGTACAACACAACGAGCTCAGGGCCGCAGAGAACGTTCATATTTTTAAAAGTAGGCTCAAGACGCACCTTTTTAGAGTAGCTTTTGATTAGTTTTTATTATTCCATTCTATTTATCTTTTATTATTTATTATTTATTATATTGCTATTGCTATTATTCATGTATTGTGTGCTCCTTTTAGTCTCACATTTTAGTGTTTTACTTATTGTATTGTTTTTAGTGTACCCAGTGTTTCCTCTGGAGGAGCCCTCTGCACCGGGAGCAGTGGTCGGTGTGGCTGCGGGGGTCGGACTCTTGGGCCTGGTGGGGGCCTGGGGCCTCGGTTTCATGTCTCCTCTGGGTCCTGTGTCGTCCCCTGTGGCTACGGGCGGCTCTCTGCTCCTGGTGCAGACGGCTCCTTGGATGACGCTTTTTCAGCTGGTTGCATCTGAACCCTGCCAAGTCTCTCATCATGTTTTTATTGTTTTACTGGTGTGTGTGTGTGTGTGTGTGTGTGTGTGTGTGTGTGTGTGTGTATGTGTGTTCATGAGCACGTGTGTGTGTGTTTGTCTGTGGTTTGGGGGGGGTCTGTTGGGTGGTCTGGGGGAGGGGTCTTGGGCCGGCGGGATTGTTTTTAACTAATCTGTAAAGCACTTTGTGTTGCATCTTATGTATGAAAAGCGCTTTATAAATAAAATTTGATTGATTGATTGATTGAACACATGGCTCAAAGAAGCATCATTGCTGTGAATGGAACATGTTTTTCTTTTAAATGTTGTGTTGTCATGTTTACTATTTGAACCCCTGGTCTCATGTGCTGTAGTTTTAACTGCACAAACAAAGGCTAAATTAAAGCTGGGATATCTATATGGATTTATTTCAGTGAATAATACATGTTATCTGTCCGTCACAAAGAGTCTACAGTGAAGGCAAACATCGTGTGAACATGTCAGACCACAACCTCCATCTTCATCTTAGTTTTAAAACAAGTCAGCTTTTGAGGAAGAAAGAGGCCTTTTGAGTGAGAGCTGATTGGCTGAGAGATGGTGGTCCTCTCCTTTGAACTTTTCTGTGTAAAAAAGCTGATGTAAAGATGTGACAAAGGCCAAACATACATGATGTGAAAACTGACGGAACCAAACTGTATCGAGCAGAACTCGTTATTGTCCGTGGTTTGAAAAGTTAGGGATCCCAGCTTTAATTGGGGTTTAAAACAGAATAACAAAAACCCTGTCATCAAAAACGGTTAATTTTGTTTTTTCCCAATAGTCATAATCGTCAAAGTCTAATTCTGTGTGAGTCTCACCTTATGCACAGCTACACACGTTTAGAGTGAGTTCTGGACGAGCTGAGATCCAAAAAAAACCTCAAGACGAATCGAACTTTGTAGAGAAAACAGAGACACGTGTTCCCGCTTCAATCTACAAGACACAAATGAGCCTATCTCTGTTTCTGACCTATGTTCCCAAAGTTGGGTCACCATGGAGATGCACCTTCTTACTTGTTAACCATTATTTCACACACTGATTTTACATGGACATCACACTGAAGTGACTCGATGTTAAACCACAGTGACATGTTACATGCATTTAGTAGTACTTTATTTGTTATTTGTTGTTAACATTCCTTTTAAAAGACACGATTTTTTTCACATGACTCCACAGCTAAAGTCTATTAGGGGTGAGTGACAGGTGATGTTGGGGGTGAGTGACAGGTGAGGTTGGGGGTGAGTGACAGGTGAGGTTGGGGGTGAGTGACAGGTGAGGTTGGGGGTGAGTGACAGGTGAGGTTGGGGGGGTGAGTGACAGGTGACGTTGGGGGTGAGTGACAGGTGAGGTTGGGGGTGAGTGACAGGTGACGTTGGGGGTGAGTGACAGGTGAGGTTGGGGGTGAGTGACAGGTGACGTTGGGGGTGAGTGACAGGCGACGTTGGGGGTGAGTGACAGGTGAGTTGTTGGGGGTGAGTGACAGGTGATGTTGGGGGTGTGTGACAGGTGAGGTTGGGGGTGAGTGACAGGTGAGGTTGGGGGTGTGTGACAGGTGAGGTTGGTGGGGTGAGTGACAGGTGACGTTGGGGGTGAGTGACAGGTGAAGTTGGGGGTGAGTGACAGGCGACGTGGGGTGTGAGTGACAGGTGAGGTTGGGGTGTGAGTGACAGGTGAGTTGGGGGTGAGTGACAGGTGATGTTGGGGGTGAGTGACAGGTGATGTTGGGGGTGAGTGACAGGTGAGGTTGGGGGTGAGTGACAGTGGGGGTTGACAGGTGAGGTTGGGGGGTGAGTGACAGGTGAGGTTGGGGGTGGTGACAGGTGAGGTTGGGGGTGAGTGACAGGCGACGTGGGGGGTGAGTGACAGGTGAGTTGGGGGGGTGAGTGACAGGTGATGTTGGGGGTGAGTGACAGGTGAGGTTGGGGGTGAGTGACAGGTGATGTTGGGGGGGGTGAGTGACAGGTGAGGTTGGGGGTGAGTGACAGGCGACGTTGGGGGTGAGTGACAGGTGATGTTGGGGGTGTGTGACAGGTGAGGTTGGGGGTGAGTGACAGGTGAGGTTGGGGGTGAGTGACAGGCGACGTTGGGGGTGAGTGACAGGTGAGGTTGGGGGTGAGTGACAGGTGATGTTGGGGGTGAGTGACAGGTGAGGTTGGGGGTGAGTGACAGGTGGTGTTGGGGGTGTGTGACAGGTGAGGTTGGGGGTGAGTGACAGGTGAGGTTGGGGGTGTGTGACAGGTGACGTTGGGGGTGAGTGACAGGCGACGTTGGGGGTGAGTGACAGGTGATGTTGGGGGTGAGTGACAGGTGAGGTTGGGGGTGAGTGACAGGTGACAGTGGGGTGTGTGACAGGTGAGGTTGGGGGTGAGTGACAGGTGAGGTTGGGGGTGAGTGACAGGTGAGGTTGGGGGTGTGTGACAGGTGAGGTTGGGGGTGAGTGACAGGTGACAGTGGGGTGTGTGACAGGTGAGGTTGGGGGTGAGTGACAGGTGAGGTTGGGGGTGAGTGACAGGTGAGGTTGGGGGTGTGTGACAGGTGAGGTTGGGGGTGAGTGACAGGTGACGTTGGGGGTGAGTGACAGGTGACGTTGGGGGTGAGTGACAGGTGAAGTTGGGGGTGAGTGACAGGTGACGTTGGGGGTGAGTGACAGGCGACGTTGGGTGTGAGTGACAGGTGAGGTTGGGGGTGAGTGACAGGCGACATTGGGGGTGAGTGACAGGTGATGTTGGGGGTGTGTGGCAGGTGAGGTTGGGGGTGAGTGACAGGCGACGTTGGGGGTGAGTGACAGGTGATGTTGGGGGTGTGTGACAGGTGAGGTTGGGGGTGAGTGACAGGTGAGGTTGGGGGTGAGTGACAGGCGACGTTGGGGGTGAGTGACAGGTGATGTTGGGGGTGAGTGACAGGTGATGTTGGGGGTGAGTGACAGGTGAGGTTGGGGGTGAGTGACAGGTGATGTTGGGGGTGTGTGACAGGTGAGGTTGGGGGTGAGTGACAGGTGAGGTTGGGGGTGTGTGACAGGTGACGTTGGGGGTGAGTGACAGGCGACGTTGGGGGTGAGTGACAGGTGATGTTGGGGGTGAGTGACAGGTGAGGTTGGGGGTGAGTGACAGGTGACAGTGGGGTGTGTGACAGGTGAGGTTGGGGGTGAGTGACGGGTGACAGTGGGGTGTGTGACAGGTGAGGTTGGGGGTGAGTGACAGGTGAGGTTGGGGGTGAGTGACAGGTGAGGTTGGGGGTGTGTGACAGGTGAGGTTGGGGGTGAGTGACAGGTGACGTTGGGGGTGAGTGACAGGTGACGTTGGGGGTGAGTGACAGGTGAAGTTGGGGGTGAGTGACAGGTGACATTGGGGGTGAGTGACAGGCGACGTTGGGTGTGAGTTACAGGTGAGGTTGGGGGTGAGTGACAGGCGACATTGGGGGTGAGTGACAGGTGATGTTGGGGGTGTGTGACAGGTGATGTTGGGGGTGAGTGACAGGTGACGTTGGGGGTGAGTGACAGGCGACGTTGGGGGTGAGTGACAGGTGATGTTGGGGGTGAGTGACAGGTGATGTTTGGGGGTGAGTGACAGGTGATGTTGGGGGTGTGTGACAGGTGAGGTTGGGGGTGAGTAACAGGTGACGTTGGGGGTGAGTGACAGGCGACGTTGGGGGTGAGTGACAGGTGATGTTGGGGGTGTGTGACAGGTGAGGTTGGGGGTGAGTGACAGGTGACGTTGGGGGTGAGTGACAGGCGACGTTGGGGGTGGTGACAGGTGATGTTGGGGGTGAGTGACAGGTGATGTTGGGGGTGTGTGACAGGTGACGTTGGGGGTGAGTGACAGGTGAGGTTGGGAGTGTGTGTGACAGGTGAGGTTGGGGGTGAGTGACAGGCGACGTTGGGGGTGAGTGACAGGTGAGGTTGGGAGTGTGTGACAGGTGAGGTTGGGGGTGAGTGACAGGTGACGTTGGGGGTGTGTGACAGGTGAGGTTGGGGGTGAGTGACAGGTGACCTTTGCGGGTGTGTTGACAGGTGAGGTTGGGTTTGTGTGACAGGTGAGGTTGGGGGTGAGTGACAGGTGACGTTGGGGGTGTGTGACAGGTGATGCTGGGGGTGAGTGACAGGTGAAGTTGGGGGTGTGTGACAGGTGAGGTTGGGGGTGTGTGACAGGTGATGTTGGGGGTGAGTGACAGATGACGTTGGGGGTGAGTGACAGGTGACGTTGGGGGTGAGTGACAGGTGAAGTTGGGGGTGAGTGACAGGCAACGTTGGGTGTGAGTGACAGGTGAGGTTGGGGGTGAGTGACAGGCGACATTGGGGGTGAGTGACAGGTGAGGTTGGGGGTGAGTGACAGGTGACGTTGGGGTGTGTGACAGGTGAGGTTGGGGGTGAGTGACAGGTGAAGTTGGGGGTGAGTGACAGGCGACATTGGGGGTGAGTGACAGGCGACGTTGGGGGTGAGTGACAGGTGAAGTTGGGGGTGAGTGACAGGCGACGTTGGGGGTGAGTGACAGGTGAGGTTGGGGGTGTGTGACAGGTGAGGTTGGGGGTGAGTGACAGGTGAAGTTGGGGGTGAGTGACAGGCAACGTTGGGGGTGAGTGACAGGTGACGTTGGGGGTGAGTGACAGGTGAAGTTGGGGGTGTGTGACAGTAAGTAAGTAAGTAAGTAATCTTTATTTGTATAGCACCTTTCACAGGCAAAGGCCACAAAGTGCTTCACAACACAGTTAAAACATCACAGAAATTAAATACAATATAAAAAGGGTCAAAGCAACACAGAAATCGTATCAGCCCAAAAATAGCTAATTAAAAGCTTGAACAAATAAATGAGTCTTAAGATTGCATTTAAAAGTATCAACCGAGTCAGTAGAGCGCAAAGAGGGCGGAAGATCGTTCCAAAGCCTGGGAGCAACAGCCTGGAAGGATCGGTCACCTCTTGTACAAAAACAAGTGCGTGGAACCTTTAGCAGATTTTGATCCATAGACCTCAGAGCCCGAGCAGGGGTGTGAGGCTGGATCAGAAAACTGAGGTAAGAAGGAGCTTGACCACGCAAGGCTCTGAAAGCTAGAACCAAAATTTTAAACGTGATCCTATAGGACACTGGCAACCAATGAAGTTGTTTTAAAATAGGAGATATGTGGGTCCTCCTGTTAGTGCGGGTCAGAATTCTCGCTGCAGAGTTTTGCACTAGTTGCAGTCGAGAGAGCTCCTTCTTATTTAGACATGAAAACAAACTATTACAATAGTCTAAGCGTGAAGACACAAATGCATGAATGATAAGCTCCAAGTCATTACGTGCGACCATATTCCTAATTTTAGAAATGTTCCTTAGTTGAAAGAAGCAGTTCCTTGTTAGCTGCTTACAGTGCTGGACTAATGACATGTCTTTGTCAAAGATAACACCCAAGTTTCGAAGACTTGGCTTCGCTGACTGGCCTAAGTCACCCAGGTACTGTTTAATCCCCGGAATTGCATCATCAGGTGCGATAACCAGTGTTTCGGTTTTGTCTGCATTTAGCTGCAGAGAGTTATCGCTGAGCCATTGTTTTATTTCCATTAGACAATGGAGCAGAGAGTCTAGCTTCTGGATTTCAGACGGCTTAACCCTTTAGGCGCCAGAGTTTTTTCAAGAAAATATACAATTTTGATTTCAAGATTTCAAAAGGCTATAACTTTAAAATGGTTTGAGATAAAGGCATACTGTAAATTAGAAATATCTTCAGTTTGAACCAAACTTTGGGATGGAGGTTGATTCGTCATCTAATTTGCATATTGTGACGTCATCAAGGTGGCGGCCATTTTGGAAAATGTTAATTCTTGTATAAAAACTTCAAAAAGCTGTAGCTTGGGAGTTATTTGAGATCAGGGAATACTATAAACAGTCAATGTGAAATATCTTTAGTATGAAATGAATTTGGGATAGAAATAAATTCCCTGATCCAGATTATAGATAATGTTTTAGCACTGGTTCGCGGCCATATGGAATTGTATTATTTTCAAAGACCTTCAGTGATCAAGACAGAACTCTTTATAGTTTACAGTCATGAAATCTTGAGATTGGTTTCAATATTTCCCTTTCAGAGAAGTAGTGGGCGTACTATTTTTCTCAGTGGAAATGAGGCTCCAGGATTTACCGTTTAGAAACAGATGAAATGAATGGGCTCAGAACTTGTCAGATCGTCTCAACAACATACAACAGGCTCTTCAACACTTCTGATCCACTTTTGTGGATTATTTTCTCTCAAGAACTGTCTTCATCCTCATCATCGCTGCTGGTAAAGGCAGTGAACGTGATTAGCGATGTGTTTTTTTCCCGCGGCTCTCCCGCGACTTCTCCCGCGTCTCCCGTGTTCCCCGTGGATGTCTACCCCCGCTACTTTCTCCCACATGCCCGGTGTTATGATGCCCCTGTCCCCTCCACCACGGCCCCTGCTTGGCGTTCACAGAATGCTTCTACCGCGGCCACACGGAGGACAAGCAGCCGCTGCACAGGGGCTGATTGTGGACTATGGAGCGCTGTCTCCCCGTCACCAATAATGTCCGTGTCTGCTTCACTGGACACCTGCGTGTCTTCCTCCTCTGAATCTGAGTGAGCCAGTACCAGACCAAGTACTTCTCTGGTACTGAAGACCTCGTGAGTAAAATAAAAAACCCTCTTTCCCTCTGCTCTGCTCTCGCTCCTCTCAGCTCTACCGCTGCTGCTTCGCCTCCGCGCTGCAGCGCCGCAGGTGATTTACGAACTCAATTTACTCAAAAACTTTCAATATAACCACACCCACAAATGCTGCTCATATTACAGACACACATGTCCACTAACCCCTGGTGAAAAGTATTAACAAGATTCTGCACCACATTTTTACATACAGCCTGTTTAAGTGAGCAATGTTGCTTGTCGCAATATTGCGACTTTGGCGCTTAAAGGGTTAAAGGAACAGTAAAGCTGGATATTGTCAGCAAATAGGTGGAAAGAAACATCACTGAACCTTTGGATGATCTTTCCCAAAGGAATCAAATACAACAAAAATAAGACAGGACCCAAAACGGACCCTTGAGGCACTCCGCACAACAAACCCACAGACTCAGACCTAATTTGGTTAGCTGTAACACAGAAGCTACGCCCCGATAAGTATGAGGAGAACCACTGTAGAACTGCCCCCGACAGTCCTACTTGATCCCTCAGTCTTTTCAGCAGAACCTGATGGTCAACGGTGTCGAATGCTGAGGACAGATCCAAGAGAACTAGAACAGTGCGCTTCCCAGAATCAGCAGACATCATAATGTCGCTGGACACTTTCAGCAAGGCCGTTTCCGTAGAGTGTTGTTTACGGAAACCAGACTGAAACGGCTCATGGATGTTATTTTGATCCAGGAAGAACGTAAGCTGTTCACAGACCACCTTCTCAAGGATCTTGGACAGGAACGGGAGTTTCGAAATAGGCCTAAAACTATTAAGATCAGTCGGGTCTAACCCTGCTCTTTTTAGTAGTGGCTCCACTATGGCATGTTTAAAGGCACTGGGAAACACGCCAGTTGACAAAGAGACATTAACCATTTTGGTAACACAAGGGCCAATTACCTCGAACACTTTTTGAAAGAGCCTGCAAGGAAGGATGTCAGATGAACAAGAGGAGGGCTTCATCTTGGACACCAGTGCTGAAATATCAGCAAATGTCACCGTTTTAAATGAAGACCACATGCTGGACACAGGCTCAAACACAGCAGGGGTGCCACACAGCAGGGGTGCCACACAGAAGGGGCGAGATTTTATCCTTGATCATCTTAATTTTAAGATGAGGTTGAGGGGTGAGTGACAGGTGATGTTGGGGGTGAGTGATATTTAAGCATTAAGTATTGAATAAAACAATGACATGGGCAAATGTAAAAATAAAATATATGAAATAAAATAAAAAGTTAGCCACCACAACTCTAAACACTTTTTGATTGACATATTTATATTTTTTTATCCTTCTCGCATCCGTTCCACCAGCATTTGTTGTGATTTTGCCGCTGACACTGACGAATGGGGGAGAGTAAACAGTTTTGGATCACGGCCCCCTCGTGCGCCTCTGTGAAGGGCGAGGGGAGGCGCGCACGACACGCAGCACGCTCGTCCTGTCGCCTCATTACTAAGCCATCTGTCTCACACTGCGCGACAAGCACAAAATGTACAATTAAGCGTCCCCTTTAAATTCTAATTAGTCCAGCCCAGTTTGCCCGCTTCCGACGCAACGCCTAATGAAAGAAGGATGTACGAGCGTCTTTGCCACGTTACGCTCGACTTCACGTGGACTTTCCGGTCCCGAAACTAAATGTTACAACAGAATGGATGTGTTGAAGCAGGAGAGGGACTGTTCGGAGTAGTTGCTGTGGGAAAGATTTCTGTTTTGACATCAGATTTAAAGCTGGCGTACCTAACTCAGAATCAAAATCCGAGTCAGTAGGAATCGAGTAAGTAACATTAAGTCAAACTAGAAATGTGCGGTCAGACTGTAGGTCACATAATGATGACCTGGACTAGATCTGAAAATTAACACTACTGTAGTCACTTTTAATTGGATTGCAACCACGTGACCAAAAGGGGGCGTGGCAAGGGGCCGTAGGACAGGAGGTATTTTTCTCCTATTAAATAGAATGGGTGATGCGGGAAAACGAACGCACAGGAGCTTTTCGTGGCTTTGTATCTCTCATTTTGAGTGAAAACTATTTTCAGTGCAGCGTACACCTTGTAGAGTTTGAATGAATGAATGAGCTCGTCACTCTGGGATCAACAGAATCACGTCTGAGATGATAGTTCTGATCAATAATACAATAAATAGGGCACAAATGTTACTTTTAACAACATTTGAGGCGAGAAATATGATTTTGTGATTTGTTGAGCTTTAAACAACAAAAAGTACGGACTTTTTCCCCTGGGAGAGGCTCCGGAGCCTTGAGCTAACAGCGTGGGCTGCAATGAACGCAGCTGTCCTTGGGGCACAGAGCTCGGATAAAACTTCAGACATTACCCTGGTCCTCACAGTCGTGGGAATAACCATGAATAATGACGATACGAAGACTTAAGATTGTACTGGGCCTTTAGCTTTGTTACACATGTTTTTGTTTTTTTAAAACTTTGTTACACATGTACATGTTGGTTTGGCATAAAAAAAAATGTATTTAATTAACAGTTCTTTCTCTGTGTCCTCAGTTGCCACAACCGTATACCACAAAAATACTGCATTGTATTTATGAAAGTCAGCAAAGTAAAGACGGTCGGCTGTGTCTGCGGCCGCGGATGCTACGCAGGCTAATGCTAATGCTAACGCATTTATTCCTTTCCTTGTTAGGCATTTTCCTAAAAATCGACACCCGTTAGAGAAATACATTTTAGCAAAATAGAGACTCCATAAGTTCCCCACTTCATATGAGCAGTTGCTACAACTGTACA